CAGTGAGGCTTATCTGCAATAACTCGCCTTTTAAAAAGCAGTAGCTGATGGCTATCAGATAGAAGTGAATTTCACTTGGGGCTTAAATGACAGCAGCAGATACTAGATATTCCTACCCAAAAGAGCATAACCTGCTTCTCCGAAGAGAAAGCAATCGCATTCCCTCAGAGCACCATTTATATTTCTACAGACACAAACAGAACTAAAAGGAAACTGATGACATCACTGACACATCTGGTTCAAAATATTTGTTAAGCTTTCAGTAAAGGACAAGCAGATAGGGTGGGACAATATCACAGAATCACAGTTTAATCATGGCACTGAACACGTAAGGAAACAAGGAAGAAAGCACCCAGAAGGAAAACCACAAAGTCTGCATTAATCCAGAATTATACAGAACAATTAATACAGAAAAGGCAGAAGACACTAAATCAGGAATTACCAGGTTTCTCTTTCAGTGTTTGCATCCACTTCAGTTTTTGGAATTACAGAAAAGTAACTCTTATTTGTTTGCAAGACACCCCACAAATGTGCTAATGCCATTTTATACCTCAAAGGGCAACACGGGCGCCCCTAACGAAGCACGCTCACACCTCTCGCCTTTTCAACTCCACTAAAAAGCAACTGGCCACCAAAACACCACGATGCCTCCTGACCCAGGATTTCTTTTCAAATTTGAATTAAGAGCTATCAATCTCCTGGACCAATCCACAAAAGTTCCCAAAACAGAAGCTCTAGGCCATTTCATCAGTTTTGTCCTCCTCTCTACTTACTTTCTTTAGTAAATAACTTTAATTCTTCTAACTTGGCTACACAAAGCTCAGAACTAAAATCCATGACGAGAGTTTATGAAGTGGCTCAAAACCTATTTAAGCTTTACTATTTTTCACACAGCAATAGGAAACTGTGCTGTGTATTTGAAAGTAAAGAATTACTAGGTGTATATTCATTTATCACAAGTCCCTGGCAAGACAAAGGGGAAGTCAGAAGAGCCAGACTTCTAGCTTAGCTGTTCAAGCTTAAACTTGATGTTAGAGCAAGGTCCCAGCTCTTCTTCATGCTTGCAAAAAAGTAGTGTTGGGCTTCCTTAAACTTGGTGCATCACCAGTGCTTACAGGTAAAACCCATAGCACATACATCCTTCAAAAAGTGACCATCACCCAGGCTCTGATCTTTGACCAGGGGCCCAACCTCATCCCTATTTCTTTCCATCCATTCCAGAGATGGAAACACTGCAAATACAAAATTCTGAGAAAAGGATACACTTAAGATAAGCATGAGTTGAAAGCACATTAACACAAGACATAGCTTGGATTTAGCATCAAAATAATGCAAGATGCTGTAACATTCATATTCCTTGTCATGTTTAATTCAGTAAGGGACACCAAATTTTCTCAATGTGCCACAGGATTCACTGTCCCACAGCACAGAGATTTGCAATTTCCAAGTGCCCCCACCTAATATCAGAGCAGTGTGAAGGGGTTACAAGGCTGGAAAAGCCTGGTACAACATGGGGCCTCCAGGGCAAAGCTTTAGAGCACAGGAAGGAGCTGGGGAACAAGGAAACCATAGAAAAACCTCAGGTCTCCAGCAAAAATAATGAATTTGGGGGGTTTTATTCCATAATTTGATGGAAACCCAAGAGCACAGTGGAGCAGGCACCCCTACCCGCATCTGCAGGGTCTCATTAACCGGTGCTGCCCTCGCGTCCCCCCTCGCACTGCCCGAGGAGCTGCGACGTCTCCCTGCTCCCGGCTACTGCTGATCCAGGGGCTTCACACGCTTTATGGAGTGTATCTTATTGCGCGCCTAAACGGTCTCTTCGAGCAGCGTATTAGTTTTATGTCTGTATCCTCCGAAGGGAAGCGGGGGTGTGTGTGGAGAGGCTGGTGCACCAGCCATGCTTGGTCACGGCCACATTGCCCCCTAGTGACCTGTCGCTCAAATGCAAGGGACAGGGACGCGGACACCCGCAAGGCCCCACCAGGCCAAGTGTCCAGGAGAGGCAGCGTGGCGAAGCGGGGAGACTCGCCCCTTCAGCGTTAGTTTTATGTCTGTTATAGAGCCAGCAGGTCCCCAAAATGAACGACTCAGTTGTCACTGCTGCAAGCTGAGCAGCAGTACTAATGGCAAAAATATCATCCCTTTTGTTTCTCCTATTAAAATAAACAAATAAAGGAAATGGCTGGACCAAACCAAGCCAAAAAGACGCATTTCTTGGCATTGCTATAGCACTGGAGGATGTTAATAAATAAACAATTTAAGAGGCTGACACAGTCCATCCCTGACTAGCCTCACCATCAGGCAATGAGGCGCACACGTGGCTCCGGACGCGGGGCCGTAGCCAGGAGCAGCCTCCCGCAAGGGCAGCGTGCAGCGGCCGCGGCCAAGTCAGAGCAGGGGCCGGAGGAGCTGCTCCCCGGGCCCACGCAGCTCGCGGGCCCACGCGGCGCCAGGCCCCGCCGCCCCCGGCCCCGTCTAGTGCGTGAGCGAACACGGCCTCGGCCTCCAAAGCTGTCAGCCCAACAGGGCAGAGACTTCATTTTCTTCCCATTACACTGATTAACGTTTCTTAATGAAAACCCATCTATAAACCTTGACTTGCTAATACTGATAGCAAGTGACAGCCTTTCCTTGAGAAGCAGATACGCAAGAATTAATTGGCCATCTCCCCATGCTTACATGGGGAAGTTAAACTTCAGGGTACCCCTTGAAACAATAGACAACTTCATTATAAAATATTGGTTTAATTTGCAGAATAAGAGGCAGAGTGGCAAGATCCAGAACCCGCAGCCCAAGCAGCAGTCCAACTCCTGATGTAGCAGCCCAGATCCAGTGCAGCACATCCAAAATTCCCACTTGAAGCTCTAGTGAGCTGCAGTTACACGCGTGATGCCCACACCAAAACGTCTCATAGGAAGATGCAACCACATTGCCCTTCCATACCACCTAGGTGAAGGGTTAAGCTGTAGCAAGAGATCCCACACTTACTCAAAACGATGGACTCCAAACCCTACATCTCACACTTGCTGATGCAAGCCACACCAGTGGTACAAATTGGTTATCTAGATATTTGACCATTCACATTTTTGTTGCAACATAGGAGCAATATAGAGAATAGTTAAGTGGGTCAGAGAAAAACTGAACGTAAAGCTGGCAAAGGCATGCAATTATGAATACATGATGAACAAAAATAAAAGCAATTTTTATGCATTAATGGTACATCACGCTAATTCAAGAGGGCAAAAATCATTAGGAAGGCATCCTGGGGCAGTACGTAGTCATTACAATACTGTGCTGACAAGAAATATTAAAATAATCATTTCCAATGTCATTGATAAAATTCATTGTGATAAGTAGCAGAGGGAGAAAATCCCCATTCTTAATGTGAAAACCCAAAGCAAGGCCACATAATAGTGAGATCTATTTTATTCTTAAAACTTTCTCATTTCCACCATCCAAGAATCTCCTGTTCCAACTATTAAAAGCTAAAAAGGAATTTATGGAACACATAACCTGGAATTTCTTGCACTTCCAGTGAAACCGGTGGCTGTTCCTGCAGCTCCAGGTTTAGAGCATCCAAGACCAGGATCAAGTGGACAACTTCCACGGTTAAAATCCTCCCAAGATATTCAATATCCTGTTTCACTTTTGAGTCCAAACTTTTAAAAGAAACAACTAATCGCTACCTCACAGCATGTCTACGCTTCAGAAATTAAGAGTGCTATCAAGAGATTAAATTGTAAATCATTCTTACCACATAGAAAGTGAAGCGATTCATCATTTTATCATTCTATCATTGTATCATCGTTTTAAAAGGCTAAGAATTGTCCTGACAACTGCTGTTTACAAATCATGGATGCAGGCTTCAAAAAACATTAAAGAATAATTACCTTGAACACATAATGGCACGTTAACTATGCATGGGTATATAAAAATGTCACTAGACAAAAATGAAATATTACTGCAGAAGTGTCCATATTACAAAGTATGAACATCTTCTGTTGCAATCAAGAGTGAACTCATCAACTCTAATGATGAAATGTAAGCAATGTATCTGCATACTATTAAATAATGAACTATCATTTTCATAATATTAATCATTCCATTAAATTATTGCTGACATTAATTGTGGGGAAAAGAGTAAAGAAGGTATCATGAACAAAAGTCACATGGACAAAAAGTCACTAGTAGAGCTCTGTGGACACTTGCAGGAGAAAGAACAATCGCTGAGAAAACAAATTATCCTTCTACATCCAGACAATCAGACAACCTTCATGAAATTTCCACTTTCTTTATCTGAAAGCAGCAACACAGCTATCAAGCAAGCACTAAGGAAAGCCTAGCAATTTGGAAACACTGATTTCCACATGTAACTAGCTCAAGAGAAAGCAATTAGCACATTTTATTGTATGGGGCTAAAAGTTTTGTCTGAAATCCCTCCAGCAAGACAGCAAGCTATATTCATATTTGCAATTAAGTCCAGTGCAGTGCAGTTTAGCTCAGTGTTTTCTATTTAAACGTTAGAATGGTTTGACTTCATTTAGTAAGAGGAGTTTCATATGCATCTCAGATGTACGTGAGCATGATGCTATCCTGCATAACTGCAAGCATTGCAGATCTTGGGAAAGAAAAGGTGTCAAAAATACACCCAAGGAGTTTGGGAGGAGAGTTCAATATAACCACTGTTTTTAAACACACAAAATTGTTGCTGCAAAGACAGGACACGTTCAAATAAGCCACAGCCAAGGCTAGAGCAGACGGCTGCAAATCCCAGCATACAGGGCTGCTGGTTTCCACAAGAGGGTGCCCGACCACCAGCTTTGCACAGCAAAGCCCAAGCCCAGCATCTCTAGCTCTTCGCAAAGGCAATGCTAAAAAACAGCATTTTTCTTTTTTAAACATTAACAAATGTGAAAGAAGAAACCGTCTGAATCAGGGTCACTTAAACAGCAGTGACAGTACGCTGTGACATGCATGATGGATAAAGTCATCTTTACCATCTTGGAAGACCCTCTCCACGTTGAGCCCATAGGTAGCGCAGGTCTCGTAGTAAGTGCATCTCTTGAGATCGTTGGATAACTTCCTTGCTCTGGCATCATCTATCACACGAGGGTTACTGGAGCTTATGGCATCTGCAACAATAGCAGAAGAATATACTGTCAAATATCATTTAAAAAAATCCCTTAAAACTACCTATACCCAAACAATGAATTTAAGCACCATTCAAGTGATTCTTGAAATTTTTAGAAAAAATCATAGGGAAAATTAAAAATTTGATACTTCTCTGCAAGTGCTGCTTTTCAGGCATGCCTTTTACTGCACTGTCTAGAGTCTACCTGTAGGAGCTGAAAAAGAAATTTTATGTGGGGAAATAAGTCACTTGGCTTACGGCTACAGTTCCCAATGGTTGCTGGTGTTACCCACCTCTTCCTACTGTTGCCCTGCTCAACTCTCCCAGGTCAAATAAAGAAGAAATAGGAGAGATGATTAGGCTTCCCACCACACACCCTCGTAGTCCAAAACTCTGCATTTCCTAGGTTAAGAAACATTTCCTAATTGCCTTTTAGTTTTCTTGACAGCAGAGTAATACTCCTCAACAAAGAAAACACCTCTCTGGCAAGACTGGTTTGGAAATTCCTCTACATTGACCTGACCTTTTATTAGCTGGTGCTATTGCTATAGCCTATATGATCTAATTAAAATAAAAGAGTTTAGAAAGCCAGATTTTCATTTATTTTAATATATAGCAGCAGAGGGCGCTGAAGACATTTAACCAGAAATGAACAGCAAGGGGACAGCATCACTGGAGCATTTTGGCTTCACCAGCACGTTCAGTCGTGCAGCCTCACAAAGGACCTTGCCCTCTGGCTTCACCTTCCACATCCTGGAAAGCACCTCGAGGTGCCAACTCAAGTGCCAACGTTTTGGGAGGTTCTCACAGATCCTCCCCAAAATAACACTTCAGTAAAAAAATTAAACAACAAGTGATTAAGTTTCATTTACACAGTTTAACAGTTGTTGATATCTAAAAGCTGTATTTTCTTCTCATGATACCTCCAAAATCGGGAAATTTTTTTTCCTTCTTGTACACATTAAAACAAACGTTCTCCTGCATCTCTGCTGCAAGCAAATAGGAACTTGGAAAACCAAACTCACTTTTAGTAATAAACGAAAAGCCATAACCCACAGCAATACAAATGCAGAAATAAACACACCTCAAATGTTCTGCCGCCTCTCATCTTTCAAGCACAATTTAAGTTGACAGAGCAGCCCTTTAAAGCAGCTCATTTCTGCTTTTGGCTGCCGTTTCTGCTACCCTAGGAGTTTTTTCTGCCCACTTCCCTTTTCCTTTCTCATCATCTGTTTCCGCCGCGGGGCCCCGGTGCTGCGCTGCCCGCCGTGCTCGCCCTCGCGCCCCGCGGCGCCGGCTCCTGCGGCTGCTCCCACACGCCCAGCTCCCTCTGGCCGAGCAGCGGCAGGACGGTCCCGTAGCTGCAGGGTTAGCAGGGAGCTGGGCCCCTGCAAGGCAGCGCAGAGCCAGAACGCAGCCCATTACCCCTGATTTCCCCTTGCCGTGTTTTGCCATGTAAGAGCTGGCACAAGCTGCTGCTTGGAAAAAGGTTTTGGAACAAGAAAGCAGGGTTTCATTCTAGGATGCATTTCCAGCCGATGCAAGAACTGATCCAAATCAGCACCTCCAAGGTCCTATCGGCACCTCGAGGGTACATCCCGTGGGGATTTCTCTTCCATTTTAAAGCAATCCTTGCAAGTCCTGGACCCTGTTTCAGCATGCTGAGGAAGCCCAGACAGCAGAAACTCAACTTTGCAGATTACCTGCCAGTTTAGCCACAACCTGCCAGCACCAGACAGATGTCAGGACCAAGAGAAGAGGGGAAAACACAGCAGCAGGACATTGCCAACCCTGTACGGCCACGGAAGTTCACATGGAAGTACATCCACTCGTGGGGAACATTATCAAGAGCACACTTACCCTGCGTTCCCACCAGTACCATTGGGATTTCACTAGTGTTGCGATAGTTGGCCATACGGCTGTAGTAGTGGTAAACAGTCTGGAAGCTGATTTCATCTTCCAAGCTGAAGACAAATATAACAGCATCCACCCACATGGCAAACTGCAGGAAAAAAAAAAAAGAAATAGAAGCAGCATATAGTGAAAAGACATTGACAAAAAAATCACCTTGCACTGATGGAAAATAGAAATTCACATTACAAAAATTTAGTTAGCAATAAAAGCTCAAAGCCAAGTTACACTATATTGTTCATAAAACAATGAATCAACATTCATCATTGTGCCAGGTGGGATCCGGAAGAAACTAAACTTTTTCCTGTATTCAACTCCTCCTTCAATATATGACACTATAAGCCCAACTACTATTAGCATAAACTGATTTTGTTTCAGAGAGAAAAAAGAGAGACTGAGATTTCCATACAACTAAAAAACATTATTTCTAGGCATGGGAGTGTCTTATTTACTGTGTTATTTACCCACCTTGTGCTTCCCATGCATGTTCACTGATACTCCTGTTATTACCAAGACAAATAAACGGCTCTGGTTTTTACAAGCATGACTAATATAGTTGTTCCATCTTGACCAATGTTCAAAAAAGTTAGTTATTTCAAACTAAACATTACGTCATCTCTTGCGGTTATAGTGTAGTAGCAGCAAAATTGTCTTGGAGGCTTTGAACAGTTGGGAAAGGAATCACCTCCGAGGTAAGGATATGGCTTGTTTTATACAAAATAGTTGCTGACAAAATAAGGTCAGCAATTTAACTTCAGTTACTAAAACCAGAAGATCGAACCAAAATTACTGGAGGTAGTATCATCACTGAGGACTTGCTATTTGGTTTAACTTAAACATCTCTATGTTGTCCAGAATTGCCTGAATTATGCGAATGATTTTTGCTTCCAGCAGTGAGATCCTGAAAGCACCAGTCTCTAAGCTAATGCTCTCCTCAGAAAAAAATTAATACTTTTCAGTATTAACTGAAAAGTTAAAGTTCCATATATTCAGTGTAGCAGTAGCAGTCTACTGAACATTAAAAAAATATATTTTTAAAAAAGGATCACAAGGAGTTATTCAGTGTGATCCCTCCAGTCACAAAACACACCCAATTATTTATTTCTCCAGTCACAGAACACTTCCAATTAGTTATTTCTCTTGTTTTAATATAAGTTCAAACTTCATGAATATCTGACCTGTCAAAATAAAAACTAAAGGACTTGTGAAAAACATGCACTACTTGGAAAGCAAAGGATGCCTCATTTCAGACCAATACATTTCAAGTTTTATTGTGCAGGGAAGAGCAAGAGATTGTTCCACTTTGCAGACAATCCATCTCCAGTCTCACAACTGCAACTAAATCTATTTTTTCCCCCAAGACAAGTCCAAACAAAGCCAAGCTATACAGAAAAGCTCTAAAAACCAAGAAAAAGCCTGTGGCAGAGCTGTATAGTTCAGTTGTGGCATTAATTGGTCTTTCCAGGAAAATGACGTTGCACTTGTAATAGTTGACAGCAAAAGCTAGTACTAAACCTGGCACACAAAATGATCTATGGTTACAAGTTTAGCATAGGGTAAGAATGGAACAGTGATGGCCAGTGCAGTTAGCTGGGTTCCCAGTGCTTGCAGTGAGCTATCTGCAAGTTCTTTTCATGTTTTCATGCTAGAAGAATCTTATATTGGTCAAGAAGATGACTGATGCAGAAAGAGAGTCTTCTGGTGAGCTTTTTCCCCCACTCCCTTGGTGTCGGGAAAAAGAGAGTGAGCTGAGCTCTCTGTGGCAGCCTTCTTGGTGCTCCAGAAAGGAAGTCACCAGCTGGGAAGGCTCTTGTCCCAGTGCCGATGCTGGTCACAAGCGTTGCAGTTCGCCTTGGTACTTGCTGTGGTTGTACCTCTCTCCTGATTCTCCACATACACAAAGAAATGTTGCATCAAATGTTGCAGCAAAACATCAACTTATGGCAAAAAGTGACCCTTTCTATACCATAAAACAAGTCCATGTTTTCTTCAGATCAGGTCCTTTTGGTGTTATGCAGTTATAAATGATCATGAATGCAGGATTAAGTTGTTTATTCCAGGAATTAACACCAAAAAAAAGATCTTTCAGAAAAAAACAGATTTTGAAATTATACCAAACAAAACTAAAAGCAAGCACTTGCATGTGAAGCATCTCTTCTGAGAGGTGCAAGAGTTTCTTACATAAAAAAAACCCTAAGCCTTTCCATGATCATTATCTGCTGAGGTACAAACTCGACAGCAGTAACAGGAGACATTCAAAAAAACTCAGATTCATCTAAGATGCAAAGGCAGCACATTCAAAGGAACTCTGCAAGAAAACCGATTCTTTAGATACCAAGATATTAAGATTCATGAATATACCTCTAGTCTTTGTTTTTTTTTTCTCCCCAATGAATATTCTATAAGCATTGAGGCCTGGAAATCCTTGTGAGCTTCAGCCAAATTCTTCACAGTCGAGAACAGTACAGTTCATTTAAGCTCCTGTCTCACCCGACTGCAGATGTGTCAGTGACACTAAGCTTTTGTTTTTGCTCTTCCTTCCTTCCAGGATGTCGCGCTGGGTCTCCGGTTCCTCTACCTCTTTTCTCCCCTCCTTTGTGCCACCACCTTCCTCCAGGCTCCAAAAGCCTCCTGTAGCTCATAAGCTGAAGGGGAGGCCCCGAGCACAGGCTGCTACTGCTGGCACCTCTCCTGCTCAGCTGTTTGGCAGCGGCACAGGTCTCACAGTGAGACGTTTTCAGAAGCTGCCCTGCCGCTAAGGAGCTGAGCAAACAAGGCCAGTGGCAGAGCACGTGCTCAGGAGACCTTGCTGATGCTCAGGCAGGAGAAGGTCGGGGCAAGCCACAAGGATGGCTGAGGAGCAGGACCTCCATCAGGCAGGTAGGCTTCTCCAAGGCAAGTCCTGCACGCAGCAGGGAAGCCACCTCCAATGAGACGAAGCAGCACAGATCACAGCACAGGTCACTGCACAGGCACCACTTCAGCAACTTAAGGACTTAGTGGTGCTGAGCTGCAGCTTGGGAAGTCGAGGCTTAGGAGGCCACAGGAAGGAAAAGGGGGAACCAAAAATAAACAGATTTGTACACACGTACATCTTTGCATTTATCTGTTTGAGGACCTAAGCATTTGAACTCCTAAGAAATCGTTAAGTCTGCAACATACAATTTTCTTGTCACTGGAAGTATCTTCTGGTTCTGAAATCGGGCATTGACTATAGCGCATCCTCATATCTTTTATGATTTATTTTGCATTGTAATTGAAACCACAAATATTTTCTCAACAAAACACTTCTCACTTGAGGGAAACATATTCTTTACCTGGAAGAGCAGGACCAATGGAAGAACAGAACAAAGCAAGTTTTCTTAAAAGGAAGGTTCAAATACATTTAAAAAATGAGAACATGATTAAATCTCTATATGCAATGCTCACCTGTGCCTCTGGAGGGCCCCCTTCATCTCTAATCAGCAGCAGATAGCTTTGTCCATCAACTACTATCTCTTTCTTGAATCTCCCACCTGTCACACAAAGTAACTCATTACAGGAGAAAAAAGGTACAAAACACAAAATAGAAAAAGGCTTCGCTTGGGGAAAAAAGCTCTTAAGATCTTTCCACAAGTGCATAAAACATCGTCAATATAAGACAAGCTACTGCACTCCAGCATAGAAATTAAAGAAAAATTAAGCCAAATATTTTCAGATCATCAATGGGAAAATATGCCAATTGCATTACAAATGTTAATTCCCATCTTATGGGTGCTTGTTTTTAATACACATTTAAAGATGGTCTTTTGCTGTTTGGGGAAACGGGGAGAAAGCACTTCTGCAAATGCTAACATTCTGTTGCAAGCAACAGAAACAGCACAGGTCAGAACTAAAATTAATTTCTTATATGCCTTCCTTAGGTTTTCCTCAAGAGAAGCCCAGTTCTTAACGCACATACATATGTTATGAAAATGGAACTTCTATATTCACAAACCACAGTTAGGGAAAATACTAGACACATGTTAGACAGAAACTACATGGTGGTACCTCCATAGAGATGCATTGAACTTTTAAGACATGTTGCACCACGTGCTGAAAGAGTGAATTACAGACTTGTTTTGGAGAACGAGATAAGAGCAGAATCAATCCTTGATCCAAACCTAGTCCTGTTTTGCTCTAGGGAGGCTGAGATTATTTAGCGCTTGTGCAGAGCAGAGGATGGGTGCTGAACAGAGGGAGCTACAAGGCGACCTTCAGCTGCCCAAGCGGCGACGCGGAGCACAACCCAGGGGCACAACACAGGTGACTCTCCTCCAAGGGCCAGGGCTTGGCAGGCACCACGCTGCTTCTAAATCACATCTAGGGTTTCTGCACTGACTGAGCCTAAACCTGGATTAAGCAACTTTGCTTGCTCGAGTCTTGGAGCTGGATTTATGTTCTGCTAGAAGTAAAAGCCTTCTCATCTTAGCCAGTAAGCCCCCAAGGGCCTGAGGCCTATACGCCTCATGCTCTCCAATTAGCCTCCCACATGAATTTTCCAGGTTAAGATAAAATATAGTTATCAACATTAAACTCATGTCTTTTTTCTTTAAACAACATGACTTATTTGTAGTTTTATTTCAATCCAACTCCCCAACTACGCTTACTTCAACCCTTGCCACACTAGCCAAATCAATACATTTAAAAACTTGACAGCAGAAAGGGCAATTCTCAGCTCCACCAAGCAGCTCTTGAGCGACCAGCCAGCGCACCCAGGCCAGCAGGGCCCTCCAGCACCCAATAACCACCAACCTTTCGGCAACATCAAACTGCCTTACACCCACCGACCCCCAGCCCCATCATTACAGCCACGAGGTTTCAAATTAAATCTACTCAACTGTTCAGCTATACGCAATAGGAAAAAGGTTTAAAAGCATTTCATGATTAACCTAAGACATCAAAACAAGATTTTATTTTAAGTTTACCCTATTATGAATGGCTATGAGACACCAAACACTGAGCCATTAAGATGGCCACATTTTTTATCCTTCTGTTGTATAGAAAATGAGCACTGTGTATTTACAGATTTTTCATCATCTTGGTCAAGAAGCAAATTTCATTTCAGCTTCCAAGATAAGGGGGAGGAAATAAATATTAATAGCGAAGTTGAAAAGGGAAAGATTAAAAAATAAATCTGAAAGGACGCTAGCTTTAGCTCTCAGAAAACTAGTTTTTATTAGCCATATAACTCTTTTTATTCCTATAGAATAACTTTGCCAATTACTTTCATCAGGTTCATAATGAAGTATTAAATAAATCCAATTACTTAATGCATAGCCCTCCAGAGACACACATTGTGCTTTAAGTAACAACAGAAAGGCAGTATATATTTTTTAATTGAAGACTGAATATTTTGCATAATTGCCTTTTTCATATTTTTGAGCACTGAAAGTTCACACCTTTATTTATAAAAGACCATGAACTGAGATGACGTACAAGAGCCATCCCCTAATCTCCCTCTCGTCAATAGGCTGCCTTTCAAACCTCACTGCGTGCTCATGCTCGGTCCTCAGAGGCACAAAGCAGCTACACACAAGGTGAAATAAAAAGCATAAGCAGAGAATTGGAAAAATATCCATGACTATAATATTAAAATACATATGCAGATCACAAACATTGACAGCAATACAAGATTGGAGAGACTTCAAGGTCACTAACACATCAAATTAATTACTTTTGAGGAAGCAGCTGTGAGAGGTGCACTATGTTTAACAATGCCTGTATAAAGGCATCCAACAGCTCTGCTGCTGTATGAATCCACATTAAGCCTCCAGCTCTCATATCTTCTCCTTGCCTTCCCCTAAAATGCTGCGCCTTAAATTTGCTACCATGATAATGTATTTTTATTTCCACTATTAAATTTAAATAACACACTGCGCCATTTTACCAAGATCTGTCGTGTTGGAAGAGCAGCACTGCAGCCAACAAGCATACATTAGATTTAAACCCATCAAAGCAGCAGCTTTCCCCTAAAGCAGTGCATGCTCGTTACCTGCTGTATACATTAGTTTCCATCGGGTCCTTCACACCGCTCAACATTTCACTCTTGCACATAAACGCTGCTGCAAGCGCACTGTGACAAATATCCCTCCCACCCAAATCTCTGAGCAGGGAAAAATCATTTATTTAATGCCTTGGTTTCCTCTTAATATTTTCCCCACCCTCCCCAGGCTTATATAGCCTAATTTTGATTTACTAGAGATGCCCTTGATACTTCTGCTCCCCTGAAGTCCTCTGACACACTTTTTGTTTTAAATTCTTAACTCAAAGCACAAGAAAAACTAAGCTCCTGGATTTCTTCTACCTGCAAAGACAATAGTCAAGCATCGTGACTGCCAGTTGATGCGATCAGTTCAAACCTTTCTATCAGTTCCCAAGTGAAGGGAAAAGGCAGAATCTCCACCCCAAATTGTCTCTCTCAAAGCAAATTTTATCAAAAATCTCCCCCACCGTACTTCCCACTGCAAACAGCCCAAAGACGACTCAAACGGGAAGGACCAAACAAGCTAAGATTCCCCCCCCACACACTTTTCTCCTTTCATAAAGAAAAATGTGTATAAATATGAAAAGAGAATTTACCAAAAAAAACACTCAAGATAATATACCCACACCCAATGTGCTCTCATTCAAGGGTTTTCTTTTGAATTTGTCTTTAAGTATCTTGTGATGAAGTAGTTCAAATCTGATAACCTCCAAAATCAAAGCATCCAAAAGGATGCCCTTGTTTTACAGCCAACAAAAGCACACAAAAATGCCAACATCTTTAAATGCAAGAGCAGATCCACTCTCGTCCTCTCTAGACGAAACTGTTTATGCAAATTTGGGATCAAAGCAAGACGCATCCCTGCTAATTTGTGTTACTGCAACATTAAAGAGTCCTCATCTTGACGGTATCATATGCCAGGTACTAGGCAGGAGAGCTGTTAAACAAAAACTATACCACTATCAAGCACTGACACAGAAAAAAAGTAATGTGTTTATATAGTGAAAAACATGGACTTCTGCCACCGTATACAAAACTATGTGACTGTCCTGCAGATATTTATGGTCATAAGATTCCTAACTCGGATGACAGAAGAACTTTGCCTTGGAATTAATGAAATGACCCACTGCCAGGCCATGACAACAGTGATGCCACAGTAGCTCTTTTAATATGACTAACACAGCACTGCACTAGTGATACCTGCAAAACTGAGCTGGGGAATTTGTAAAGCAATGCAGGGCTGTAAGGAAGGAAAAAGAAGGACAGATCAGCTGATCTGAACCCTTCACCACCACTATAATAGAAGTCAAGAGGTCTCTCATGGCTACAGAATGCCACTGTATTTTGTACAAACATCTGTAGATGTGGTGGAGTCGCAGGTACCAGCGAGGCTGAAGACACCCAGAGCACAGAAACGACCTTTGTAATTGAAAGCAGCAGCTCAAAGCAGCAGCGAGGAGTCCCAGGGCAGGCAGCTGCCTTTGTTCGGCTCCCGTCAGCCTTCAGACACACGCAGCTTTTTAATGAGGAAATTTCGTGGCTCCCTATGTACCTGCCAGAAGAGGCTGCAGAAACAAAGGCTCCTGGCAGGCCGGCCAGGCTCTGCCGGGCTGCTCGCTCCTGCTGCCGTCACAGCACCGGGGGCTGCGGGACACGACGGGCAATCACCGCCTGAGCTCTATTTACTTGCAACGTCAACCTCGTGTTCGCAGCTACGCAGAAGAGATGCCAGCCAAGATCCCAGGGAACTCTCTCCTGCCAGACAAGTGCAGCTGGAAAGCACTGTCATGAAGCGCAGCGATTTCACAAGAAGAAATTCTTGAAACCGCGTGGGAGATTGGATTTGGGAGGATTTTAACATGGGTTTTCTTTTCCTCTCCCTGCTAAAACTCTACCCTCAAAAATTGCTACAAGACACCATTCTCAGTTTCCCAAGGCAACACAACGCATACAGACTTATTCTTCAGACATACAGTTTCACACAAGCAGGCAGATATTCTTGCTGTGGGAATTGCACACAACACCTAGCAGAAGGTAGAGATGTGCTCAGGGTGCAAACATAATGTGCATCTGGCCCCATCACTACTCAAAATGCTCTGCATGGAAATACAGCTTTGACCAATACAGAGCTAAACAGATTTCATGCATTGGCAATACAGCAAGCCTGGCTTAAACCTAGCACAAATGAGAGCAGCAGGCTCAAGGAGCCAGTTCGTTAAGCTCATTTCTATGCACAGCGCCCTACAAAGGCCACTGCCTTGGATCAACGGTAATAAAAAATAGTCCTTTGGTGAAGACAGACACAGATTTTAAACTTCTCACCCATCTTTACTCAAAAGCACTCTATATCCTGAATCTTTTGTTACAGAGATGAAAACCTTCGTGTGCAGAATTAGCTAATTATGAAAGCCTGGACGCCTCTTCCTCTTGCTGATAGCTGTTTCACTGAGTAATTGCTCATCGAAGCAACTACTGATTTTCATACTGTATCCTCAGGCTCAACTTCATTTG